CTGTCATCACCAGCTGCCTAGCAACAAGGGTGACCTAGACTCGAGTGTCACGAAGGAAACTGGAAGACTATTATACAGAGGTGGAACTGTTTATGATTGTGCTTTTGTACCGTATTACGCATTTGTTCTGGGTTAAAATTCAAAACTCTATAACAGACTTCATGCAGAACATCAAATTAATTAATTGGTATATTTATAAATTATACTTAGACTGTGAAACTAACTGGTGGATATCTGAGTCACGCTAGAAATTTCTACTTGCCAACAGGTGCTAAATGGCGGACTCTCTACACCTAGGATGTTCCGCAGAGCCGTCGACGGAGACAGCGGGGACAACAATCTTACCAATGCACAGGAAACAGCTAATAGGACACTGGAAGACTGGAGAAATAGCTTCGACGATCTATTCCGGGAGTCAAGTCAGGTACATTAGACTTCATTCATTCATTCATTCATTCCTGGCGCGATTATTGGACGTAACAATTAATAATGCCACTATACCAAGGGACTGGAAAAAAGCCATAGTGGTTCCTATTTACAAAGGAGGTGATCGATCATTGGTCACAAATTACAGACCGGTCAGTTTAACATCGGTGGTCTGCAAACAAATGGAACACGTTATAGCATCGTACCTGAGGAAAAACTGGGAGGAAAAGAATTGGTTATTCGAGGGTCAACATGGGTTCAGGCCGGGATATTCATGTGAAAGTCAAGTAATCACGGTTTGTCAGGACATTGCAGACACACTGGATAACGGAGGAAGGTTAGACGCGATTATAATCGATTTTTCGAAGGCCTTCGATTTAGTTCCTCACGATCGGCTGCTTATGAAAATCGCGGCATCGGGCGTGGACTCGAGGATAGTCGTATGGATAAGAGAATTTCTTTTAGGCCGAACGCAGAGAGTTAGAGTAGGAGGGCAATTATCAGAGGAAGTCAGAGTAACATCAGGAGTACCGCAAGGGAGTGTATTGGGTCCACTTCTATTCCTCGCGTACGTAAATGATATTTGGAGGAACATTGAATCGACTATTAGACTTTTTGCAGATGACTGTATAATATATAGGAAAATTATAAATAGTAAAGATATAGAAAAGATGCAGATGGATCTAAACAGTCTGGGGGAATGGGCGGCTGAATATGTTATGAAAATTAACCCAAGTAAAAGTAAGGCAGTTAGTTTCACGAGAAGTCGGGTGAAGGAACCACTAAACTATTCGTTACGGGACCAAATAATTCCGGAAGTGAGCAGTTGTAAATACTTGGGAATTATCTTAAGCAGCGATTTAAGCTGGGCTGATCAAGTAAATTATACGGTGAAAAAAGCCTGGAAGGCACTTCATTTTACAATGCGTGTTCTCAAAAAGGGGAATAGTAACACTAAAAGTCTAGCCTACACATCACTAGTGCGTCCGATTCTGGAATATGGGGCGGCGTGCTGGGATCCTTACAGGGAGGGGCAGATAAATGCGTTAGAACGGGTGCAAAGGAAAGCATGTAAATTTGCATATCACAGGAGCGATTCGAACTGGGAAACCCTGGCACAGCGTAGAAAGATAGCACGAATATGTGCTCTCTTCAAGGCGTACACGGGAGATCGGGCATGGAAAGCTATAGGTGTCAGATTGCAAAGGCCATACTACCTGAGCAGAGTCGATCATATTCGGAAAGTTAGGAGCAGAAAACAAAGAACAGATATCGGAAAATATTCCTTTGTAAATAGGACCATCCAACTCTGGAACCAGCTACCTGCTGAGGTTTTAGGGACTCTCTCCTGTAAACCAAGTACGTTTAGGAAGAAGGTTAGGAAAGTGATAAATGAGGTGAAGTAAAGGGAATAGATGGGTGGGTGCAGTGAAGGGGGGTAAATTGGGGTGAGGATGGGAAGGCTTCATAAGTGTAGTGAAGTGTAGAGAAGGCCCTGATGAAATGTGAGTGCATCAGTTCATGACGTATGTAATTCATTTCTGTTACTATCTTATGTCTAGTTGAATTTTTAAGTTATGTACTTTAGGTTATACAGTTTTGTAATATTATGAGTTGTTTTATTTTGAGTGTGGTGTGTTGTTTTGTTGTGTCTTATTGTTCTTGTTGTGCCTTATGTTTTTTGTGTCTCATTGTCTTTGTTGTGTCATGTCTTTTTGTCTTACTGTATTGTTGTGTCTCATTGCTTTGTTGTGTCTTATTGTTCTTGTTGTGCCTTATGTTTTTTGTGTCTCATTGTTTTGTTGTCTTATTGTTTTGTTGTGTCTTATGTCTTTTTGTCTTACTGTTTTGTTGTGTCTCATTGTTCTGTTGTTTCTTATTGTTATTGTTTGTGTTGTCTTATGTTTTTTGTGTTATTGTTTTGTTCTGTTTCATTGTTCTCTTGTTTCTTATTGTTTTTGTTGTCTTATGATTTTTGTGTCTTATTGTTTTGTTCTGTCTCATTGTTCTGTTGTTTCTTATTGTTTTTGTTGTCTTATGATTTTTGTGTCTTATTGTTTTGTTCTGTCTCATTGTTCTGTTGTTTCTTATTGTTTTTGTTGTCTTATGATTTTTGTGTCTTATTGTTTTGTTCTGTCTCATTGTTCTGTTGTTATTGTTTTTGTTGTCTTATGTTTTGTTGTGTCTTATTGTAGGACCACTGCCACCGGGTAAAAACCCATTTGCAGTCAAATAAATAATAATAAAAAAAAATAAGTGTGGATCAATTCTTTTAAAACATGAGTCAGTCGTGCATGTTAAGTAAAAGTAAAAGACGTTGTCGCTGGTTCTTGAACAAGCACCACATAATGCAGACGTCGGAGGAATAAAGGCAGCTGCACACATTATTAAGATTGGCAGGAGTGGCCAGCTTCACTTTTCGGGCGCTTTACCCCCGAGTACTCACTGAGCAGGAGGGGAGGAGGTTGGATGGTCCACAGAGCCGGTCTGGACGTGGTGACAAAGAGAAAAATTCTTGTCCCTGCCGGGAAATGAACACCAGTCGTCCAGACAGTATCCTAGTCATTGCACTGATTAAGAAATCCCGTTCAATGCGAATATTCGGTTAAAACGATTACTCTAGAAACATGTGAGTGAACTGGGATACATTACATTAAAATATTCACTAACTGAAATGTAACTCATGTCAGGTACTCTACTTTGTATCACCACTTTAAGGGCGGTGATAATCCACAAGATGCCCAAAATATTACGTCAGTCGATTCACAAAAACATGATGTAATTAACTAACTGTTTTATAACATCTAAATATTTCCATTTGTAAATTGCCATAATTATCATCCTCGTGAACTACGGACGATTAGGTCTCGTTTCCCGTTCCTAAACCATCATTTTCGTAACAAAAAATCGTTTAATTTCTATAGAAATACCAATAATGTGCATTTCTAGAAACTAAAAAGTAGATACGTCTGTTTCAGTTAGGAAACTCGATGCAGAATCTGAACTCAAGTCTGCAGGGATTGTCAGCGGCGTTGGACCAGTTGGGAATTATTCTACAAAACGCACTACAAAATGCCACCAGAACAAGTTCCACTACTACAGCCAAGCCCACGTAACAAACAAAAGAAGTGACAGCGACAGCTGTTTATTGTTTGTTTTTGGCAACAAAACGCGTGGCGATCAACCACTGAACATTTTCCCCTGGCTTCCTACGTTCCTACTTCAGTGATTTCCATAACGCTCTTAATTTGATTGTACTATCAATACCATTGCGGAGAGTAAAAATTATTTTTATTATTATTATAATTATTATTATTCCTCCTCCTGCTATTATTACATAGTTTCTTCCGGAAAGTAAAATATGATAACATTTATAAAACAACATTGGAACAGGAGCGTAAACGAAACATAAACACGCTATGTCCACTTTCATTTTGTTCATATCAAAGTAATCTGGAGAAGGTAAAACTTATTACGCTAGCAATAAATTAGATTTCATTGCAAAACGTTTTACGTGATATTAGAGATACAATAAATACTGACTCAGTGCAAAGTTTATAAACCAATCTATTATTATGCAACTGCATTGTATAAATAAAACATAATGTATAGCTGAGCTGTACTACATTTTAATTCAAGTAACACACGTTCATAATTTACAGCATCCAAAAACAAGTTACTCCAGACTGTAACATTAAATATTTCCAAATCCATCAAATACTATTAAATATTGCTAAGTGGAAAAAATATCCGTGGCCTATTTTAAGGTACTATAGGCCGACTGGCAATCGTGTAGATGGGCTGAGGAAGTCCATGAATATTGCAGTTGCTAATCGGGGTTTTAAAAAGATACCTGTCGGATGCTGAATTCTGTTAAGACAGCTGGTTCTGTATCCCTGTGTTCTGTTACACTTGCTACACCGCACAGAATCATTAACTGTACTGGTGACAAACCTAATTAACATTTGATGCGACACTACATACAGACAACAATAATCTTTTCTGTATTTCGTTAAAATATAAAATTGTATCCATATTTCTTAATATAACTCAATTTTGATAATTCATAGAATTAAATTTGAAATCCTGTAATTTGAGATTACAAAAGATAAACAGGGATTAGATTGACCAACAAATTTTCATGTAGACGACATTTTCTAAATTTAATCGAAATCTGCACAGTGGTTAGGGAGATTGATTATTCAAGTGGGCGGACAAAGCAAGAGACGAATTTTCTGAAACATAAGCTTTTTAAATAACATTATTTTCAAATATGCATCACTATAAAACACTCCAACGCCCCTTAATTAAACTACATTTGCTCCCACCTCAGAAGCTCATATTGCTCCTCGTGATCACAGGAAGTTTATGAAAGTAAAAAGGTGTACAGAACTCAATTTGGAGCGTGCATATTTCTGAAATACATTCTTGCACATTTTTCATGGCTCACTGGACTTGATGTGAATTTCTTGGTTATGAAAATCTTGTAGCAGAACAATTGAGAAAACTTACAAGTGAACGTGTTACATCACTATTAATGGCACTGCAGACAAAATTTTAGCGTAGAAAAATAACATGGCGCAAACACGGAAAAAAGTCATATATTCCAGAGAAAGTTGTAATTACTGTCCACAAAAAAGAAGGTACACTGGAAGACCGATACCTAGATGGAATGGCAATGAAAGGGTTAAATTCTATGTACAATCATGAACAAGGCAGACTTTCGGAGACATTAGGATATCTATTTAGATTTATGTTGGCGCGTTGGACTTGGAATTGTCCAAGGCCTGAAGATAAAATACTACAATTATAAATGCTGATCCTGACCTGCAGTGAACTCTCCTTATGTTGTAATGGCGGCTTATCTGGACACTTTGATCCTATGTCGTATGACGAATCTGAGATCAAGCTGTCATACAAGTCAAGACATAATCTAACTCTAACCATGGCGAAGGTGCTGCATTCGTCAACAGAGTGATCCTTAGCTGTTCAAAGTTTTCGTCTCATTTGTTGAACTAGAATGTTCATAACGGATAAAAAAAGGTATCCGACTTTATCCCGAGCAAATTCAATCCAGCTCAGATCTTCACAACCTAGTACACGAAGTTCCATTTTTAACTGCGTTCAGTTCCAAAGAAAAACAGGCTTATGGTATAACCACATGGTACATACGTAGTTGAAACAACGATATTACATAACCTGAGAATCAATCACTATCAAAGAACCAGAAGAGTACCTCCGCTTCGGTAACTCATGTTCTTCGGCATACCCAAATGAAGAGCTGACGACCTCCCCAACAATACATGATGTCGCCTTGAACAGACAGCAATGGAAGTTTTAACAGCTGCACGGATGATCAGTACCCAACACATGGCTATGGCTGGTGTAGTTAGAAATAAAGACGGCAAAGTGCAGCCGCATTACAGTAATTATCATGTAGGCTTCTGGTCTGTGACGCAGTGTGGGTTTATATAACTCTAGAGACCGAGCCCTACTATCAAACAAAATGTTAAAATGTGTTTTAGGGATATAAATGGAAATAAAGGCTACTGGAGGTGTCAGATCTGCATGATGATAGTAAAATACGTCTTCATTCTAGTCAGGGAATTTCTTAAATATCGATATTTCTGTGGACTGCTCAGGAAATGTCAGGCACACACAGCAAGTCAGTGGGCGGTGTTACACATAACTAGTTCTAAGCGAACTTTGCCCTCCAAAGAAACCATACACCACAATTCGATGGACTTCAAAGTCAAATAGTAGCTAGAAAATATACTAATTCTAACATGTATCAATCATAAATGTAATAACAGGACGCACGGCTAGTACTTTAAAACAGCTTGCGATGTACCGATACATTCTGTATGTTCTCCAAACTTCATAAAAGTGACGACAAAATGACACACAGGGGACTTACACAGTTACAAGATGAAAAGAAGATGACGGCTGCCATGTTGTTATACTGATACTGAAATTAAATATAGAAAAATGTTCACGCCTCTAATGATATGAAGTCCACAACAAATTTAATTAAAATCTGTCCAGTGGTTCAGAAGTTTTTACTACGGGGCAGACACATGGATGAAGACACAAATTTTCCCTCATAAAATAATTAATGCAGGTATAAGCTAAAAATCATTCAGGTATGTATGCATTCAGACAGCAAGCAAACTGTGGAAGTATTTATGTGCTTCGAGTAAAGAACTTACATAATATCTACTATTACAGAACATACATTAAATGATTTCAACGGGTGCAAAGGCATTTCTAAGGAATAAATTGCCCAAAATTAAAACCTGAGTTCGATGTAAGAACCTGGACACATAAGTAGTGATAAGCTTTTGGTGTATATTACACGGAAGGTAGGCACTAATTCACACGTCTTCTCCTAAACGCTGGTACCCATTTACAAGACCACAAGGCATCACAGCCCAAATTAAGCTTGTTGATTGATTCATGACACATATTTATTATGCGCAAATTTTCGATACACAGCTTTGCCTTCATGAAGCTTGGTTCTGCATCAAAGAAGACTTTTTAGACAATCTCATACATTTTTATTTCAGCCCATTTTTATTATAGGCTAAAATCCTAAAAACGCAGACGACTTATAATACGTAAATAGTAATTCATTAATTATTATTACAATGGTTCCGGATGTGTGAGAAGTATCTCAACAGGCTGTTTAATCTTCGTGAAACTATAAACTGTTGTCGTCTCGTGAGCACCACCGCAACCTTATAACACCCCATCCAAGTGAACATATTCCAGACTGTGAAGATTCGAGACCCTAGCCAAGGTAGAGGTCATACGCCATGCAGCTGGCAGGGCCTTTAGTCCAAAGGTGGCCAACATCAGAAAGACGGATTGCTTCTTTGTCAATATCGGCGGAAGATATAAATGAAGCAGCCTGTTCTCCGACCTCAGTGTCCAGCAGCATCGCAACATGGCAATCGGCAGAGCAATTCTCGCGGCTAGTGCAGTTCTTTGCTTCTCACAGGTCAGTAAAATCAACTAGGTCATTTATCATTAAAGCCAAAGTGACAATTATAACTTTTCTAAATTATGGTCTAAATGTTTCCTTTCATGTAATTCCTCACGCGGAATTCCACAATTTTAAATCCGATTTTAAAATTCTGACTGGGAGTGTGAAGAGTTAAAAGTGATCCTACGAGTAACAGTAAAAACATATGATACTATGTACCGTATAAACGAAATAATATAGGCTAAATGGCGAAAATGTGTAGAAATAGTGGCAGTCAGAAGTCCAGTGGCACTATAGCATAAATACCGCGTATTTTTAAATTAGAACCTTTTAAAACTTTATTTTTTCGCTTGCATGAAAAACATTATCCCCACTTTTACTTGCAGCTTTTCGTTGTGTCTACGCATTCGATCCGATAATGACATAGAGTGGCATGCATATCCTTTGAACAGGTCCTGGAGGCCGGTGGGGTGAGACGCTCAACGGACACGAGTTCCGCCGTCAACCAGCTGCAGGAAGCTGTAACCAAGGCACAACAAGCTGTCAGCAGCGTGGCCACCGAAGTGTCACAAGCTCTGGGGCTGCCTGAGCCCGAGACCGTGGCCAACACTCTGCATAATCAGTCCCTGAGCTTTGCACGCACAGTGGGAGAGTTTGTCGGACAGATCCAGAACGAGGTGAGTGAGCTCTGTGTCATCTTCAGAGGATGGGTTGCTTGAAGTCGACTGAGGTATGAGGATTAACGCATAAGGAACGAGATGAGAATCAGTCATGGTGAGTCCCTACGAACGCATTGGCCTAAACTGACAGCTTATTTAAAGGCTGTTTCATAGAATATGCTACCATATATCTTGTAATTAGCTGGAAAGATAAGCATGAATGCCATTTTGAAAGGGATACAAAGGAAAACGATCGTGGAATATTTGAAGGAAATATCAAATCATCCACTTTCAAAGACAGGGGAAATAATGTCATACGACAATCTGACCAAGATTCGAACCGAGTACATTCAAAGTATAAGTATAAGCGTCATTCATCGTCTGAGGAATGTGGGGAAATCAACACAAAGTTAGTAAGAATGTCCAAGATCGAACCGATACCTTCCGAGAACAAATCAGGCCTCTTACAGCCGAATTAACATCTTGTGATCAGTGTTTTGGAGGGACCGTATCACGGATGTAATATATATATATATATAAGGAACACATCGAATTGACTACGGGCTGAAAGATAAGCATCCTTCAGGAATGGTACTGGAATAAATCGATTGTACACAAATAATGTCTCTAAATTTATAGTCGAATTTTGTGAGATGAGCTAACTTCTTAAAAGTCCAAATAACAGAAATAAATACAAGGCAACTGAGACAAAAGCTGACAAGATCCTTTTAGCAGATACGTCATCTCACATGACATGCAAAGCAAGGAAGGGTTTTGGGAAGGAAATATTAGCAATATTCAAAACATTCAGTTCAAATTCGATTATCTTAAGCGTTGAAAGACGTAATAATAAAAAAGACTGTTAATTCTATAAATCGATCACAAATCAGAAATGCCTCTCGTTACAGATCACCGCACATCAGGGTGAATTCTCCAGCCTGCTACAGTCTGTTGCTACGAAGTGGAATGAGACCGCCACAAGCCTGCAGACCTACACTCCTGAAGTGAGAAAAACTGCTCAGGAAGTACAGACGTCTTTCAGCTCTGGGCTCCAGTCCTTTTTCGATGAAGTCCAAAAGGTGAAATGCGACACATTCGAAAATTTATCATAAAGTACAAAGAAGATCAATCGATAGCGGTCTGCTGGATTATAACGCCTTTGTGGACTTGTAGGCAGATACTATCAGTTTGGAGGAACATAATGCTTCCATCTTCAGGGCTTAGTTTAGCATGGTAGGAAGTACGTGGATTAAAATATGTTAAGGGAAGGACCAGACCAGAGAGAATTGTTAACCAGAACCAAGGGGGAGGAAGAAATATTGACTAGGCAAAAGGCTGGATCACCGAGGTTTTATACCTGGTGGGGCAGGATTCTTCTCTTCGCCACAATGTCCAGACAGGCTCTAAAACCCGCCTACCTCTCTATCTAATGGATACCGGGGTTCTGTACTCGGGGGTTAACGTAGTCGGGACTTTAAGCTAAATACTCGCACCCATCTAGTGCCATGGTTAAGAATTCGTGGAACTATACTACTCTCCCACACGTCTTCACGACATGGTGCTTAGTTAAGTGCCAAGGACAACTTCGCCGTTGTAAATGAAGTCTGACAGGTTATCAGAGTACGGAACGATACATTTCTGTTTCAGTTGTGAATGCCATCACTTTAAGATAATATTAAAGTATAAAACGACATATTTGCGTTACAGATCGTGAATGCCATCGGCCCCAACGCACAGTCAGCCAGCGAGAATCTGAAGCAGATCACTCGCACAGCTCTGGACAGGGTGCAGGAAACAGCCAACGAATTCAAGAGCAGCCTGCATGCTGTCACCCAAAACCAGCCCGCTCAATAACTAGCCTGCCACATGCGTGATTTCCTCGTGTCATTTGTAACCCTCAAAATGCAATAAAATTATTTCTCAATTCTTATGATCACTGACTTAAGTAACGCATGAGACTGATCGAATCTGTTAGCTAGCTTCCAATAAGAGGAAACTACGTCCCAATGCAAATTAAATCCAACCCGAAGCGATATAAAGGTATTGTTAATAACTACCAAAAAGGGCCCGTTCATTTCAGCAGGGACAATTTTTTTTGTACATTCATTCCTTGACCCACACCTTCGTTTACTTCATGCCCTTCGTGCTTCCAATTCTTTATCTCATTTCTCCCTTTACCAGGCCTTTCAATTAAAAAATATATTAGCAGTTATGTCATCCAAATATTTACGTCACCCATATTTAAATTACTTCTAGAATATGCCAAATAGCAGCAGAACGTAAAATAAAGTTGTATGTAATCTGGCGTAATTACTGAGAACTTCGCCAGACAAACAACACACGCACAAAATAGTAAACAGTGTCTTATAATACAGACTACAGACGTTAAGTGGGGCACACTCTAGTTTTTGGATTACTAGCGCCTCGAGATCACCAAATTGACTACAAGGCATCACGCCCGCTTTAATAATAACATACTACGTGACGTATCTTGGTATAGCCATAGTGTTATGTTTAATCAGAGCAGATTATTGATAGCTATTTAAGCATTTCAGTACATACTATTTTTCTGTGGGGCTCTACGGCCCGCGGTCACTTCTAAATATATACACAGAGCCCCAAAAAAGAAAATAATTTCCCATTACTAATATAATATGCTGCTACGATTATCGTGAACTGTGAATCTGGATACATTCTGAAGGATGTGATCGTGACTTACTTGGAAGTAATCCCACTGTCCTAGAAATTAACAGGGAGGGAGAGTGTGACGGACTGAAGTAACAGACGAAAACCACGAGTCAGATCAGGCTATTCGTTGGTAGCGATTCGAAGCATAAATCCGTAAAACGCAATGTAAATGTGATGAAACTAAGGTAAACTTTGCTCGGGGATCAGTTAAAACACATAGGTTACACAAAATTTCGTGCCAGCGGTTTCAGCGAATTCTGGGGCAGTACCTTAAAATAGGCCACTATTTCTTCCTGCCACACAGTTTCCTATTCATCATTCCATTACTCGAGACTATACATCATAAGCAGTTGAAAAAAATAACCAGAACCCCTAAAGCTGTGAATAAAATCCCTTAGTCATCAATATAGAGCCGGCGTTCTGTTTGCCCCTGAATTATGTACAGATGACCAAATGACCTTTGTCCTTATTATCACCATGAGAGTCAATCATTTAGTAAACACATGTTCATTCCGTTATCATGCAGTAACCCGCAATGTCACGGATGAGACTAAGCAACACACAGGATGAGCACATCTCGCACACAACGGACACGCCAAAAAGAAATACTCCGTTGAAAAACACACATTTTCCAACGCATTCTTTGAAACTTTTCATTAGTGCAGATATACAAGAAATATTGAAAACAAGCTTACCGTTTAAAAGCATATTACACTACATAGCATATTCCTAAAATTTACCTTGTATTTTGTTAAATATACAAAACAGTGAACAATACACGAAAAATAAATGCGAATAATTATTTGCCGAATTTTTCCTAATTTATACAACACTCCCACTTCTCTCGCCTCGTCCTGTGTCCCAGTCTACAGATAATCCTGCCGATCTATCGACCTCAAACAATTAAGCCAACAGCTTTCAAAGACATCATCATAATTAAAGAAAACACAACATAATTCTATTAAAAGGATCAGATGATTAATGTTTAAGGAAATCTGCACTGTGGGCAAAATACTGACTTAGTGACCGTTAATTAATGCACTTTAATTATTCAATATTAGACCAATTAAAGATATTGATAAAAGATTTCATAACAGACAAGTACGTCCACATGGACGTCGCTAGCAGAACTTCCCACTCGTGATTACTCAAGTTAACTTTAACTACACCTACGTATCACAGCCAGCTTTTAATACAATATATGAAGCAAATTTCGACTGTGCCCAATATATGGGCAATGTCTTACCAAAAGAGTCGTACAGTACGTGTATAACATAAATTATCGTCTTGTACTCCACATCATGACCCCTCAAACAACTATCGCTAGTTTTATTCCAAACCGAATTGGAAAACCGAAAGAAGGTGGGAGTCATACATCATTCACTTGGTCAGGGTCTTGAGTCCAAAGGTGGCCAGGGCTCGGGGATTATTAAGTCTCTTGATAAACGCCAGCACATCGTATAAATAAGGGACTGCGTCTGTCGTCAGACCTCAGTGTCCGTAACAACAGCAGCAGAGCACCGCGTTTCAAAAATGGCAGTCAGTAGGGCATTGTTCGTGACTGTTGCAACACTCCTTTGTTTCACACAGGTTAGTAAAGCCGTCTTCATAGTTCTTTGATCTCTTGTGAACAAATTACTTATCTGAAGTACATATCATCAAAGAATCAAAGAAAGCTAAGTGTGATGAGCAATATTCGCTAAGCACGAAATTTTGAGGATATCACGCGAAGAAGACTTCGTAAAAGCAACAAAAAAGATAATACAATAAGCGTTGTCAGCAGAAATTTCAAAATTCCTCATTTTTCTTATCACCCTATATTTTACAGTTTACAGTTTAAAATGCGGAATTTTCCATTCTCACATAGACGTCGTTTACAAAATGTGTAATGGTAAATATTCGAACAAAATTTAAATAAGTTCATTCCTTTGAGGCCATTTATGAATCGAAAATGCTGTCATTAAGAACACCATAATAATTTCTTCTATTTACTTTTGATTTCATATTGCCGATTTTATTAAAATATTCTGAATCTCCAACTGCCTGCATTTCACCAGCAGGAAGTTTAGTTGCACGTAATGTTCGAAATTTCCTAATACAACAAAATTTCCGTTTTCAAATACATTCTGTATGATCTGAGGTAACCACGACGGTGCAAATGTAGACTGCGGTCTTCTAAGTTATGACACCCCGCCGACTCGAAGGTGGTTACAGTACCAAAGGAACCTACTGCTTCTATCTTCAGATACTGTTTTGTTTGAAGATGTTTTGATATTTAATTGTAACACATTTCCGTGCATATTTTCTCAAAATTATATCAAATCCTTTTTAATGTTTACAATCAGACATACATATCCAATGCCAGGTGACCACTCAACTGAAATTTCGCCAACAGATGGATTAAATGTTGTAAGCATCTACAAAAATACACGAGTATATTTTCATTATCCGTACTTATATTGTACTACTTGAAATAAATATGGCATAATTTTATTAACGTGTATTATATGTGAGACAAAATATTTACAAAAGAATCACATCAAATAAGCTTAAATATGAACACTAGCAGTTCAAATATCACGTTTCATGCTATCCCGTGTCTATGATTGTACTTCTGTGGCCCAGGTCATCTACGAAAAATAAACAGACGAATGAAGCAGATAAGTTTTCTGCGTGGTTTATTAAAGGAGGGCTTTATTCTGTCAATATCGACGCAATTTCTTCTTAACGAACAATGCGATGTAACATCACGGTCCTTAGCACAAATAGGCATATTAAAATATATAATATTAGAAACCATCAATGCAACTGATAAGGGCATGTTTTATGAACGTCCACTTATCAAATTCCTCGGAAGCTGTTTGACTACCACCCTGAAGAAAGACTAGCGAGAGGTCGACCGCCGATGAGATGAGAGAATCGGTTCGACTAACCTGCAGATTGAAATAGCTCAACAGGCCTAAAACTTGCAGCTGATGATGATGGCGATGTTGGAAATCAAATCCAGTAATTTATCTTAGTGCATTATGGAACAGGTCCTGGAGGCCGGTAGGGTGAGACGCTCAACGGACACGAGTTCCGCCGTCAACCAGCTGCAGGAAGCTGTAACCAAGGCACAACAAGCTGTCAGCAGCGTGGCCACCGAAGTGTCACAAGCTCTGGGGCTGCCTGAGCCCGAGACCGTGGCCAACACTCTGCATAATCAGTCCCTGAGCTTTGCACGCACAGTGGGAGAGTTTGTCGGACAGATCCAGAACGAGGTAAGCTGCTTGAGGACATCTGCATCATCTCAAAGGTTCAATTTTTGATACACTGCAGAACCTCCCACATACAAATCAAACACGTTGCTTCCTGTCTTTCAGCGCATTTTTTTTATTTTCAAATACGGATGCATTATTGGTCTGTTTCAAAATTGTTTTCTTTCTGAAATTCCAAGTACCTAAGTATTTATATTCCGTAACATTCATATGACAATTTTTTTCTTGATTATATCATGCACTTTTGTTGTAAGATTATAATGGGGCCATAATTTGGAAAACAAAAACGATAAATTGTGGATTAACATTTGTCTTTTATTTGTTTGGCCTCAGTTCTTTCTAGTTATTACTAACAAAATGATTACTTTTCTTAAACAATTATTTTGCGTGGCAAATACTTTAGTACATTGGATTTGCACATTTTGTAACATCTTTATTAGCTTTTCTGATTGCTTATTTTAATATATTTCCGATTTAAAAATAGTTTATTACGAACCGTCTCATTCCAAACTCTTATCTACAATTCGCGTTAATTTTTAAAACTGATTCTATATTACATAAATTAGGAAGATAACACAGCGCAAAAAATAACCAAAAAATGTGTCAACAAATCGGAAACACACACGTAACTAAGATGTAAACGCCCGACATGTGATCGACAGAAATTTTCGGAGTCCCAGTTAAGGCTCGGTCGACCTACACACCGCCATATTTCAGTATTCTTTGTGATATGGGGCTGATCAAACTCCGTTTGCAGGCTTCAACCCAACAGGGTGCAATCTCCAGTCTCCTGCAGTCGGTTGCAGCCAAATGGAACGAGACCGCTACAAACCTGCAGACCGAGAATCCCGAAGTGACAAGAACCGCTCAGGACCTGCAAACTTCATTCAGTTCCGGACTCCAATCCTTTTTTGAGGAAGCCCAAAAGGTGAGCCACGACTTAGTATGGAGCACATATCGAAGAGTTTAACGTATATTCAAATGGAAACACAAACAAGGTCTGGAAATAACAGGTATGCAATGTAACAAATTGGCGTTTTCGAGAGAATAGTAAATGCATTTGGTGCAACGAAAACGATGATAGATCAAGAAACTCAAAATCTAATCCCTGTCCTTAGATTTTCAATGCTGGAGTTTTGACCCTTTAAAGCCCAGTGGCAAATCTAGGCCCATGCACTATCTGCTTTAACAACTCTGCATTTTGAACGCAAAGCTGCTTGAGGACATCTGCATCATCTCAAAGGTTCAATTTTTGATACACTGCAGAACCTCCCACATACAAATCAAACACGTTGCTTCCTGTCTTTCAGCGCATTTTTTTTATTTTCAAATACGGATGCATTATTGGTCTGTTTCAAAATTGTTTTCTTTCTGAAATTCCAAGTACCTAAGTATTTATATTCCGTAACATTCATATGACAATTTTTTTCTTGATTATATCATGCACTTTTGTTGTAAGATTATAATGGGGCCATAATTTGGAAAACAAAAACGATAAATTGTGGATTAACATTTGTCTTTTATTTGTTTGGCCTCAGTTCTTTCTAGTTATTACTAACAAAATGATTACTTTTCTTAAACAATTATTTTGCGTGGCAAATACTTTAGTACATTGGATTTGCACATTTTGTAACATCTTTATTAGCTTTTCTGATTGCTTATTTTAATATATTTCCGATTTAAAAATAGTTTATTACGAACCGTCTCATTCCAAACTCTTATCTACAATTCGCGTTAATTTTTAAAACTGATTCTATATTACATAAATTAGGAAGATAACACAGCGCAAAAAATAACCAAAAAATGTGTCAACAAATCGGAAACACACACGTAACTAAGATGTAAACGCCCGACATGTGATCGACAGAAATTTTCGGAGTCCCAGTTAAGGCTCGGTCGACCTACACACCGCCATATTTCAGTATTCTTTGTGATATGGGGCTGATCAAACTCCGTTTGCAGGCTTCAACCCAACAGGGTGCAATCTCCAGTCTCCTGCAGTCGGTTGCAGCCAAATGGAACGAGACCGCTACAAACCTGCAGACCGAGAATCCCGAAGTGACAAGAACCGCTCAGGACCTGCAAACTTCATTCAGTTCCGGACTCCAATCCTTTTTTGAGGAAGCCCAAAAGGTGAGCCACGACTTAGTATGGAGCACATATCGAAGAGTTTAACGTATATTCAAATGGAAACACAAACAAGGTCTGGAAATAACAGGTATGCAATGTAACAAATTGGCGTTTTCGAGAGAATAGTAAATGCATTTGGTGCAACGAAAACGATGATAGATCAAGAAACTCAAAATCTAATCCCTGTCCTTAGATTTTCAATGCTGGAGTTTTGACCCTTTAAAGCCCAGTGGCAAATCTAGGCCCATGCACTATCTGCTTTAACAACTCTGCATTTTGAACGCAGTTTTCCAGCATTAACCAAGTGATCTTTGCAATGGAGACGTGTTTTCTTTGAGGTGCGGACTGAATTTTTCAATTTTATTTAGACAGACCTTGGCTTCAAATGGTTAATGTATAATTTTCACCTTCGGGGATAAGTCGTGTCGTTTGTTGAAGGTTTTCCAAATGTTTCGATAAACATTGCTGTTGCAATCTTCAGGTCAACGTCTGTGAGGGAGGAGGATAGAAGGCAGTTATAAAAACCTGAAAATGGACGTAGAGTGGGAGGTGACTGACCTGGAATGGTACCTGCGGTGGAAACCTCAAATCTCAGATTGGCCAATATTTTACAATTAGAAACCCAAAACAAACTAAGTCCGAAGAGAAGATATAATAATTAAGTCGCTAATTAAGCTTTCCTGTGCACAGATTGTAAATGCAATCACGCCCGACGCACAGGCGGCCGGCCAGAACTTGCAAGAGATCACCCGCACGGCTTTGGAC